AATGATAAATGTAAATGTATTTTATACCTAAAATGTACCAATAAATATATATATAAATTTAAAAAATATCCTTGTATTCTACACTAAGTAAAAAAATGGAAATTATAGGGCTTCTACCTAAAGGCAGGGTCATAGGGGACAATGTTGAAGATCTGATGGTTCTTGCCTTCCAGTAGCTCAAGTCTTCCCACAGAGGATATGAGCACATAGCTAACCACATTCAGCATGGTGTGGTATGCCAGGTGCATGGACATGGTAACCTGGGAACCAGGACAGACAGCCATTCATGCCCCTGTGGGAGAGCTAAGACTTCTCAGAGGTAATGATATTTGACCTATGTGTCAATAGACAATAAAAGATTTGGAGACATGAATAAGGAAAAGGCAGGGCAACTAAACCTTGGCAGAAAGTTTAAGCAGATCTCAGACTGCAGCAATGCTTTATAGTCATTGATGGCACCATGATCCTTCAAATCTGCATACCACTGTTGAGGAACCAATGTCATTGAGATGCATCCTATGGTTAGACCTTCATTTATCCTCACACCAAGTACAGGAATTAGATATTATTATTCCCTTTGGGAATGCTGTAAATGAGAACCTGAAAATTTACAAGGACCCTGTCCAAGGCCATCCTGACTGCTGATGCTGGAACCTGAATTTGAACACATGTCTGTGATCCTAAAGCCCCTGGTTTTCAATTAGGTACTTTAAAACTCTGGGATAAGACTTCTTTTTGTCATTCTTGTTTTGAGGGAGAGAGAAATACTTTCTAATATAGCTAGTTGACAAATATTTTTTCAAAATTCCTCTTGAATTATTAAAATAGCATACACTTATCATTGGAGAAGGAAAACTTATTTAAAAGGTAACAATCATATGATTAAAACTTATCAATATTATAAATATGTATAAGTAACGTATATAGGCCCTTCATGCAGAAAAGTATGGAAAACATGAATTAAAGTGTGATTTTCAAAAGCTTTATAGCTCACAGCATTCTTTCACTTAATAGAAGCCTCTCCTGCCTTGGAAATATATATATATATTTTTTTCACTGAATATATATGTTCATATATATATTCATGATATATATGCTGTATGAAAGAGGGCAATATATCATATATATTTTTTAATTTAGGAATTATATTATATATATATTATATATTCATATATATTTGAAAGTTGGCAATCTCCCAATTGAGCATCATTATCCCCAAACTAGCCCTATCAGCCACCAATATTAACTGTGCTCTCCTTGTTTGTTTGAACATGTCTAAACATATACACATGTAGAGAGGAATTTGAGCTGTAACCTGTAGCTTTTCTTCCTTATTTAATAACATTTCATGGTGTTGAGTTTAGGTAAATAAAAATCTTTTTAAATGTACCCAATAGCTCATAATTTAATCATTTCCCTATTGATGCACATTCTTAATTGTCTGTTTTTCAGCTCTTCAAAGGATGCTGCAATAAACACCCTTATACTTGTAAACTCAGGCACTGATTTTTATCACTTTATGGCAGATTTTCAAAATTGACTTACTAGATCAAAAGGCATATTTTAAAATGTTTACAGATATTTTGAGAAAGCCTTGGAAAGTAGAAATTTCTTTATTGGCCAAAATTGACACTTTGTTGATAAAATTTGATTTAGATCTATATCTGATAGTAAATGAGCATACTAATATGTTTAGTAGTAGTAGTACATTCTGAAGCAGTCAGTTCCAATACTAATTGATTAAATCTGATACCTATTTGGGTACAGAGCAGATAGAGATAAGTACTGAGAAATTAATGCAGTTTCTCCACATTATTTAGATGATTTGGGTTGCTTATTAAAAATAAGAAAATATTATCTATGGGTATGTCTGGAAATAATGACCCCAAAGATAGCAATTAATAACATTCAAGTGCCTTCCTTTTTTATCTTTCTCTTTCTTTTGTGCTGGGATTCAACTCAGAACCTCCTAAGTGCTAACCACATGCTCTACCAGTGACCATCACCCCCAGCTCCACAATTCAAATTTTTGATGCACTTGGTCCACAGATAACGGTGATATTATAAATGAATATATAAATACACTCATCTTTCAACCAGTTATTTTGAAGGGGGTAAAGCAGTGGTTTTCAGCCTCAGCGTTTACTGATATTTGATGCTTGAAATTTTTTTATTGGTTTATTTTTGTGTGCAGTTGTTTAGTAACTTCTCCAGCTCCCACTCGTTAGATGTCTGTCTGAACCCCTCCCCTAGTTGTAACAATAAAAAATGTCTCCAGATGTTGGTGGATGTTATCTGAAGGGCAACATTGCCCCTAGTTGAGAACCACTGGGGTAGAGCATGGCCCAATAAGGATCATGGGTTAAAAAGTGTATATTATTAATGCTATTATACCTTACTGATATTTAGATGATAAAAATCGAAAACCAAATAATCTAGGCTCTTCCTGCTTTGGGTGAGGTTAATATGATTAGTTTCACTTAATTGTATTATAATTTTGTTGATTGGTTGATCATATTGTGTTTTCTCTTTAAAAATAAATAGACGTTCTCATTATTCTTGACTAAAATAAAAATACCTAAAATTTTAAAATACCTAAAATAAAATGAATAAATGAAACAATGAGTGACTAAATACTACAGTGATTCTAGGTTGCCTTATTGATGGTACTGTGCTATGGACAGTGTACCAAGACTGGTAGCAGGGAAAAGGTGTAGTTATCTGTTTAGTGTGGCTGGGACTGGCACACAGGTGGAGAAAGGAATATCGATGAGATTAGACATGTAAGCAAAGGCCAGAATACAAAAGCCATTTCAGGAGCTGGAAATGTATTCTGTTATAACAAGAATTATGCATTGGAAAGATGCATTTTTGTAGGTGACAGAATGGAGGGATGGAGTGAAGTGAGGAAGAGAGTTTATAATCCCATTGTCCAAAGATTAGGTAGTAAAGGCCTAGCTTGGTAGAAGGTTTAAGAAAGTTATTGTGTGCCCTTAAGGTACCTACAGACTTCATAGAAACTAGCATCCCCTCTATATAGACTCCAAACCAGTGAAGAAAGTAAGACCCTAGTCTTGTCAGACGATACCTAGAATTTTTTTCATTTAAGTTTAACCATTTCTTTAAAACTGGACTAGGAAAGTGATGATTCTGGAAACATTGTCAGATAAAGAATAGTTGAAAAATTGAAAATTTAACTTAGAGACAAAGAGAGGAAAAGAAATGATAGCGTCTTATGTAAAATGCTAGGTTACTTTTGTAACAACAGGCTGTCTAGTCTGTGATCCAAGAGGAAATGTGTCTAGTTAGGCCCCTGGAAATGAAGACAAGCTGAAAATCTAGTCATTGCTTTATTCATTCTTTTCAGCGAACACTACTACACATTAGGACATAAAGTCTGCGTCTGAGCAGAATGAGTTGTAGCTGGGGAAGGGGAAGCATCAGTCTACTTCCATTTTCGCCTTCATTCTGTCTTTATCCTGATGTCACACCAAGTGCGATAGGGCTTCCTAAAAAGCAAAAGGACATATGCAAAAATAAGAGCAGCTTAGATGGAATTAAAATTTGTTAAATATATTCACATTTATTATCTTATGTAGCCACCATTTTGCTGACATAGAAACAGACTCAAAGTGGTTAAATCTCAACTAGAATCACAAAGCTGGTAATTGTAGAACAAGGGTCTCTGTTATTCAATAACGCCTTCTGTACATGTAGAAATTGGATTTTCCATGAGACTCCAGGAGAACCTGAATATTTTACTAACATACTCAGTAAAAAAGCCATATACATTTTCAAGTGAGACCATGATGGCATGGGCCTCCAGGGTGACTAAGCCCTCCCCCTTGGAAAATCAGCCCTCCAAGCCATAGTTACCAGCAGTTTCTTCACAGATTCTGAAGCCTCAGGTCCCAGCTCATTCACACACTTCCTTAGCCCTTCCACAAGGTGTTCAACAGAAATGCCCAGAGTTTGCAGAAGACGCTTTAATGGATCCAATAAGGAAAGAACATCCAGAGGCAAAGGCAACACTTTGTTAACAGGAAGGGGCAAACTGTTGATGAGGAAGGCAGTAGCTACAGACAAAAGAGAAACCAAGTGAGACAGGCATATCTGGCCCTGACTATACCTAATTATCCTGATTCCCATGAAAACCTTTGCCTATGGGCCTTTGTACTTGCTCTTTGTCTCTCTAGAACTCTCTTTCCTGGATAGCTACTACTCTTATTTTTATTACCTTCGTGTTTTCATTAGAATGTAGGCTCTGAGAGAACAAAGAGTTCACATTTTCTTCTCTACTATACACCATGCTTACTGATCTTGGCATGCAGTAAGAATTCAGTAGATACTAATGGTTGAATGAACAGGTAAGTATTTTGTATGTGGCTGTGTCCAGAGCTCACAGCTCTCAGGCAAAAGTGAAAAGCCCTAAATCTCTATTCAGGGATAAGAATGAACCAAATCGGAATCCAAGAAACTTCTCCCTACCAACTGACTTTAATGCTGCAATTTAATTGAGCACCAACTCTATGCCATTTGCTACAGATATATAGACAATGAGACAAGGGTGCTTTATTCAGAAACCTAACACTGTCCAGTGAACAATATGAATCTTAGGCCACCCTGCAGTGTATAGTATGATAGCCCTAAAAACAAAGCTCTGTGGAAGCACAAAAGAAGGGATGACTAACTGCAATGTGGGAGAGTGGTACAGGAATATTCCCAGAAGTGTTAGATGTTTGAGGCAGACATTAGGATCACAAGGTAAAGAAGAGAGGCAGTATTTCAGGAACAATATCAACAAAAGATGTTAAAACAGTAACACATTCACAGAGTAGTGTGCCTTCTGCCCAGAGAGGGTGGAATGCAGAATTCCAGTGGGCTGTAACCAGGAGGTGGAAGATAAAATGGGTGGACCTAAATCAATAAGATCAGATTTTGAAAAGCCTTGGATGCCATACCAATAACAATGGAAAAATTTCCCCCTGAGGACAATGGGGAGCTACTAAGGCTTTTAAATGGACAACTGTATTTTACAACCGGCTTTGGAAAGATAACTTTTGCATAGAAGATGAATGGGAAGGAAAAGGAGATATTAGAAAAAATGCATATGATGTATGTGTACAAAAATTGAGTGGATATATAAATGCATACCTGTGTGTGAGCATACAAACAAGAACATGTGTCCTTCCGCTGCCTAAGACCTGCCATGGTTAATTTTCCTTTGGAAACTTTTTAATTTCCTCATTGAAATTATAAAAATGGAGCCTGTGCATATCTCCTACCTCTATCTTCTCATGTACTTTCCCGCCAAAATTCTCCCCTAATGGGGAGATACTTATTTCCCTCCACCCTCTTTCTCTTGTCACCTTTGCTTGTAAGCATTTGTCCTTGGACACTAGAGCACAACAAAATATTCAAAACTAATGAAATTAAAAATTCCTCAAAAAATTCAATAAAAATCACAAACCCAAGCCTGTGTAAGTGTAGGCAGCACTTGGTTTGTTATGATGAATCTTCATTCTTATTACAGTAGACATTGTGGTGAATGTTCTCTCTGTCTGTGTTTATATGTTCCTGGGGGAAGTTCTTCAAAGCCTTCTATTCTCTCAGTGAGCTCTGGCTGTCCTGAAGCATTTTTCTGTTGCACCCAAATGTTTCTTCCTGGGACTTACAATTATTTCTTCTAAAGAGAATGGTTCAGTTCCCATTCTCCTCCAAGAAGCCAGTTTCGATATCCTTACTTGGAAATTAGACTCTTCACCCCTTGGTACACCCACAGAGCTCTCTACCGATGTATCTCATTGTGCATTTACAATAGTGCAATATTGGAGTAACTTTTGTAAAAGTCATATCTCTTAGCAGACTATCAGTACCTTGAGAATAATCTTTGAATTATGCATGACTCTTACAATGCTTACCTACAGCTTCAAAAGTTAAGCCCCTTAATAAATGTTTATTGTATAGGCAAACAGATAATATATCTGTTTCAGGAGACCCAATTTGGCAACTAGAGATAATAGTAAATGACTCCAAATACTTTTAAAAGCATAAAAGAAAAAGTTACAAAGTCATATTTTACTCAAGATTAAAGAAAACGAATGGCCACCTGTGTCCTTCAGTGACCTTCAGTGGAAATTGGCTATCCTCCTATGCAGGATCCATTAGGGATAGTACTTATATTAGGTTAGAGCTTGGATGGTGGAGGAATCTGTGTTATCTCCCAACAATTCCATTTTTGGTGATTCTAAACCTTCTACCATATTCCACTATTAGTGAGATAGGCTTATCAGTTGTGTTTTGCTAATGGAAAAGTAGAGAAATATCATATATTCTAGACTACTTACCAGAGTAACTACAAACACTGATGGTCACCAGCAGGAAGACAGTTGCCAGCTTCATGGCAGGTGTCTGTGATAATTTCCTGGAGTTTCAGAAAACCCGGAGAATCCACCAAGTCACTGGCTTTGCTTGCTGTACAAAGTGTGGCTGCTGTTTTCACACACACACACATGTATTTATACGCCCACCAAAGGCCTGAATTGCAAGACCCTCTTTTGATTCACTCCACCAAAGAATTGCATGATGGTCATATTTCCTCACTAAACAAACTGGAAGGTTTGGAGAGTTTTCTATTTTTCCTCATGTTCCCATGAGAAACAAAGCCTTAAATAAAAGCATTCTCAAGTACCTCTTTCACAAGCTTTGAGACAGAAATAATAGTGGAAAGCAAACAGCCCTAAGAACCTTTCTCCAGGAAGTACATTAAAAATACATTATATTGCATTAAAATGAGTGTTTTCCTTCAGATTTCTATTCATTTAAACTTGGAGAATCACATTACCTGAGGAGCTACCCAATTGTGAAGTACTCTGGAAGCTACTTCCTCAGTATTGTAAAGCAGTCAGCTTAAAGGCAACTCACCTGCTCACCCACATTTACATCTACAATGGCAAGTTCCCTGGATCTCCCTTGTATTTTCTAATTTCCTCCAGTTATCTGGAAATCTTCAGAGTGTGTCTACTCTCTGTTCTCAACTGGGACAGTATGTTAAAGATATAAAATCAAAATTGCTTTTTGGAAAACTGGGACTCAATTTTTACTGTTTGTGTTATGCTGTATTAGTCATTTTTAATGTATGGTGTTGGTCTTCCCATCAAAAATGCGGACATTAACTCCATGATTGACCCTACATTGTACATCCCTGAAAAAAAATTTTTGCAAGACCTCATCTACACAATTCAAATCTCACAAGATATACATTTTGAAACTGTCCTGGCAGTTTAATCCTACACAATGATAATATATATGCTGGTCAGAGGAGCAAACAATCTATTTCTAAGTTTGCCCTCTTGGAACCAGGGTTCAGCCAAGGGATCACAGGATGACTTCATTCATAAGCACGTATGCTAGAGTTCTCTGGGCCATTGCTTGGGTCTTGAATACAAGGAAGAAGATAAAAAAGAATCATGAAGGGGAGAAACACTGGGCAGAGATCATGTGGTCCCAGGCACCAACTCAGGGACCTTTGACCAAAAGACACTGCCGACTCAAGTCATTCCCAACACCAAAAAAAAAAAACCCGAGAAAATCTTAGAAGTCACACCAAGGTAACAGCACCTTAGTATGCAAGGCCAGAATTGGGGGCTAAATTGCCTCCATCAGAGGGTATGTTATTTGTTGTGGAGATTTAATAATATCCAGATGAAAAAGTAGCTATGCCAAACATAATACTCAAAAACACTCATAAATACCCACAGACTTACACAAGTATCAAAAAATAATATATGTGGGCTGGGGATTTAGCTCAGTGGTTCCACCGCCTGCCTTGAAAGCACAAGGTCCCGAGTTCAATCCCCAGTACCAACAAACAATAATAATAATGATAATAATATATGTGTATACACAGGTCACACATACATGCATAATTGTTAAGCAATCTTGTTGTTACTTATTTTTTTCAACAGATGTTTTTTGAGTATCTATTGTGAGCCAGGCACTGTACCAGAAATGAGGACTAGAGCAGCAAGCCAAGCAAATTTCTTTATGGATCTATCAAGTTAATGGGACAAACAGACAGCAAACAGGTAAACAAACAAGAAAATAATCCATGGTAAGGGCTGTGAAGAAGCCAACAGGCTTTTGTGACAAGAACAAGTGGATTGGCGGTGCTCTCACCCTTGAAAAGAGACTTGAATTTGGCTACTTCCATGCTTTCTATGTTCTGAGTCATGTCTAACTATGTCTCTTCATTCCCTAAATTTTGAAACATTGTCAGGGTCAGAATTTGAAACCTTCCTTTTCTGTTTGAATTTGGTTACCTTTAAATACTTAATTAAGATTTATTTCTGGTAAGCATTTATTAAATATATTAATTCACTGAAGAGAAATGTAACTAAAGGGATATGAATGTCAGTGCTTTTAAATTAACTTGGATCTGCTTGCAAATGAAATTTTTATGTAAGTTAAATTTATAATCAGAGTGGAAATTCACTTAGCTATTCAACAAGTATTTATTGAGCATGTTTAGTGTGTCCTGCTATGTTGTAGATTCTGGGAATACAGCAGGAACACAAATGGGCCTGATTGTCACTTCATTTCAATGATGTTAAAGAAAACTGTCAAAAATAAGTCCACGTTTCGTTTTTTTCCTTGTGAGGAAAATTACAGTTATAAAACATCCAACTGAATATAGATACAATACAGTGGTCAGGAAAAAGAGCAGAACTGGCCTGGTAGTTCATCTGATGTCCTTCCTTCTGACTGAGAGGAGACAGTCCCTTTATGTGGAAGTACTTACCTTCTCCCTTCTACTTATAGCTAACGGGCATGGTCCAAGGTAGCCCAAACATTAACGTAGATAAAAGGAGAAAGTGATGAAATTTAGTTTTAGGAACAAATGCAAATAAAATTTAATCAAAATCTATAACCACCTCATAGAGCTTGGAAAAAACAACACAATTCATTTTGATCTCCATCCCATATTGGTTGAATCCTGTTGAGTAAAAATTAAAATTGTGCTATTGGAAGCTAAACTACAGCCACTTTCTAGGCATTGCAGGGAAATCCAAATGGAATTCAGGTCTAGGAGGAGGAAACACACAGGAAATAATTAAATCAAGAGAGAATCAAAAGAAAATTTAACAAGCTCAGAAAGGGAGAGAAACTTTTAGTACAGTTTGTATTTTCATGGAGTTCTTGAAAATTGAAGTAGTTCTTGGATTTAAAGATTTTGATGAGAAAAAGCTAGAATTTGCAAAGATTTATTTTAGAAAAGGAAATCAATTTAGTGGGCTGGTATGTGGCTAGTGCTTTCACTCGAAGTCTGCCCAGGGCAGATGTCAAACACATTTAGTTTATAATCAAACCAGTGATGAGTGGGTTGGGGAGCTGTGGCTCTAATCCTAAACTCTGATTGATGGAATGAGGTTGCCACTTGATCTAGCAAGACTTGATCAACAAGAAGAAACATGGATGTTTGAGCAGGAGAATCTGGTCATAGATGTTTATAAAGTAGATCCATATAAGAGAAGGCAGAAAGATCTGACAGTGTCCTAAACTGTGGACCCACACATTGCCAACCGCAAACCCCTGCTCCAGTCTACAATGAGCTCCTAACCAACTTGTATGGCAGTCATCCAACTCCCTTGTTTTGGTGTGGTTCTTACTGAAGTATGTGTGACAAGGCTGACAGGGAGCTAGCACTCTGATTTATGTTTTTGCTTTCTATGTAAATAAACTGCCTAAATTGAAAGGTGGCTTCTTGTATCTTCACAAACAGACCAGTCTGGCTTTGGCCTTGGCTGTGCCTTGTCTTGCATGTGTGAGCTCCACACCCTTCCACTGTCTGCCAAGCTACATGTTCATCGCAAGGGTGCAGCTCATAGGCATCATGAGTTCATGTTGATTTTGCCCAGTTATAGATCCTTGATACGTGTCTGACTATAAATCGTTTTTTCCCTTCTAAATGTTTACATGCACTATGGTTCTTTAGGCCTGGGTTCAGGGTGGAGAAGACTTTTCACTGAGGCGGAAGAGCTCCTCACAGTCCTGATGTTTGCTTGGCATTGTGCATAGCTCATCCAAGCCTTCCTAATGTTGAGGCTGGTATTTGTTGTTGAGAGCCCTGTTGTTAGTTGATGATTAAGAGCAGAGGTCCTGGAGCCACCTGTCTCGATTGGTGGCCCAGCTCTTCCAGTGGAGAAGTTCCTTCACCTCTCTGGGGTCAGTTTTATCAACTATTTTATAGTTGGGCTAATAAAACCTTCTTCCTTATGGGGTATTATGAGGAAATGAGTTAACATGAACAAAAAGGCTTATAAAAGTTAGTATCTCAGAAGGAGCATTCACCACATGTTAAATTTTATTATTTCATTACCTTGTCTGCACGTGCTTTTAATTTTCCAGTTTCCTATCCAAAACCTCAATCACAGCAGCCATCAGCACTAGGTTCATAAACATTACTTCTTAATTTTTTATTTTGAATTGTGTTTGAGAGTTTTTATTTATAATTTCTCTTTAAAGAATTCCATATTTCTTTGGTTTGCACACAAAACAGAAGAGTGGTGTGGATAATCATCAGATCCATTAAACAAATTGTGAAGGGTTTTTTGTAGAAGGTTTTTAATTTGAAACAATTTCACACTTTCAGGAAAGACCTAAAGTAAAGCACAAAGAAATTTTTTTCAGAACCATTGAAGAATAAAGTGGTTTCAAATGTGCTGTCATTCACAAGTACATTAGTGTGCAATAAAGTATTCTTTTTTTTTTCAATAAAGTATTCTTAATGCCTCATGTATACGTTAATGCTGATTAACTGAGATGATGTATGTGGAAGCCTTTGGTTTACAGTAGGGTAATATACTAAAAAAAATTATGGCTGTCATTCCATCAAGTCTGGAAAAATTCAGGATTCAGACCTTGATTGCCAGAACAGGGAACTGAAAAACAATCATAGACCCAATGTCAATATTTTTTCTTTTTAAAGTAATGTGAATAATGGTTCCAGTCTCAGAAATCATTTCAAATGCCACAGCTTCTAAAACCACAGTTGCAAAAATCTACTGAAATTATTCAAATATGCCTTCACAATCAGAAAAAAAAGAATTTGATTTTATAGGTTATTAGTCAGAATCAACACATTTTATTTAGACTCAACACTTTGAGAGCATTTGTAACCTCATTTATTTATGTTGAATTAAAAAATACTTTGTTTCTTAATGACTTGAAACAAGGGCAGTATATTTTTTCTAATGATTCTTTGAGATGATATTGTTCTTCGTCCTCTTCATTGACAAACACCAAGACTGGGGTGACTGCAGAGATGAAATATTGGCATTTGTGGTTAAGTTTGGTAGGAGCTTACTGGGGCTGTTTTCAGGGGGAATTGGTATTCCATGAGTTCTATGAAAGTGCGTTCCAAAATATTAAAATTGAAACTGTAGATGTCCTAAAGCTTAGCCTCAAAAAATACATGGCATCTCTTCTGTCACATTCTATTATTCAAGTCAAACAATAGGAGCATACCAGATTTGAGAGGAGAGGAAATGGAGAACACTCCTTAGTGGGAGGAAATGCAAA